TCGAAGAGGTAATAAAGGTGAAGGTTGAACTCAATAAGGAGTTCGACATGAAGGATCTGGGAGCTGCGTCCAGGATTCTTGGGATTGACATCCGAAGAGATAGAAAGCAGTCGAGATTATGCTTATCTCAAGAGGCATACCTACGGTAGATTCTCGAAAAGTATGGTATGTCGAATTCAAAGCCTGTTGTGACTCTGGCAAACCTTCAATTCAAGTTGAGTACAAATCAGTGTCTCAACACTGATGTTGAAAGAACTTATATGAATAGCAATCCATATGCTAACATAGTAGGTTCTTTGATGTATGTTATGGTCTGTACTAAACTCGACATAACATATGCAGTAAGTCTTGTAAGCAGGTACATGGCGAATCCTGGAAAGGCTCACTGACAAGCATTAAAGTGGACTCTAAGGTACATAAATGGGTCTCTGAATAGAGTCCTAATTTATGGTGGAGCCTTGGGTGAAGATAGTAAAGCAGCAATCGAAGGATATGTCGACTCTGATTATGCAGGTTGTATGGATTCCAGAAAATATATTTCTGGATATGTGTTCATTATGTTTGGGACAATAATTAGTTGGAAAGCAACACTTCAGAAGGTCGTTGCCTTATCAACCACTGAAGCGGAGTATATTTCCCTAACTGAAACTGTGAAGGAAGCATTGTGGCTTGAAGGTTTTGCAAAGGAGCTGAAATTTCAAGGTCGAATTATCACTGTTAATTGTGATAGTCAAAGTGCAATACACCTGTTGAAAAATTCAGCCTACATGAGTGAACCAAGAACATTGATATGAGGCTGCATTTCGTCAAAGGGGTAATCGAGCGTGGAGAAGTCCAAGTGCTGAAGGTTTTGAAAAATCATAATGTTGCTGATATGATCACCAAGACGTTGCCCAGTTGCAAGTTTTTCCACTGTATGCAGTTGATAAAGCTGCATGAAGAAAGCTAGTTTCTTGATGTTATAGAGTTAGATCCAAGGTGGAGATTTGTGAGATATTGGATCAAACTCTAGTATGGTCGAAGGGTAGCTTCTAGTTCGACAGGAATTAAGCATGAGGTCGAAGTCTGTTCGCATGTTGCTGTCGAAGATAATGCGTGTTGTAGTCGAAGTTTGTTCTAACATGCATTAGTTAACATTGCTAGGTTGTTAGCATATTGGACTGGGCCTTGCTTGAAAGCCCAAGTGTTTAAGTTAGCTTGTAATGGGTAATTGTTAAAAATCTCATTAGGTTAGTGTGTTATTTTTTTTTATAAATAGGATGCTAGTTTCTCAATCTTAGCATAAGGAAAAATAGGAAGATAAAATCCTAGTTTCAAGAGAGAAAGGTTATTTTGTTATTCTTGTATACTTGTAATCTTGTTCAAAGAGTAAAGAAAGAATAACAGTTTATAAGCAATCCTTGTTGTTTTACCTTGTCTTTTTTGTTAACCCTAACCCTTGTGTGTTTCTTGATCATTAAAAAACCGTTTATACTTTGTTTAAAGACATATGATTCACAACAATATATATATATATATATATATATATATATATATATATATATATATATATATATATATATATATATATATATATATATATATATATATATATATATATATATATATGAACTCCTAAAATTTATGTTTTCTTTGGACGTCCACACTAAAAGAGATGTTCAAGTGAATAAATAAGGAAATATGTTGCTAGTGAATCACCAAACCAATGAAAAAATCATATAATCTTTGTCACCTCTAATACTAACATGGACAAATTTAAGTTTTTCAATTAAAAGTAAATTTAAATTGACTAACAGAAATATCTCACTAGAATAAAAAAATTTGAATTTAATAGTTCAATAAAACAAATAATTTAATTTAAAGACTAAAAATTCCATTAAATATAACTATAATTAAGTAGCAAAAAAATTTGATGGAAAGTTTAACATACATGACATATGTTGGAATATAAAATGTTTTACTTTAAAATGATTCTCTGAATGAGAAATTTCTTACTCCAACTCTAATTTTCCTAACTATAATTCATTAGGTGAATAAGTCAACTCTATGTTGATTGAGAATTTTCCTGTTCTCAAATATTTGTTGCAATGTTGTAATGAGTTGAATATCCTAATATTCATTTTATCAATATCATTTGTTTAAAAAAATGTTTAATACCCTTTTTGCTCTCCTACCTATGCCTCAGGGTCCATTTTGGTCCTCTTCCTTTTAAAAGTTTCAAGTTGGTCTCTTACGTTGTCTAACAGAATTAAAGTGCTCCTTTTTGTCAAAAAATGACTGACGATGTTAATTTAGATGACGTGAAAGTTGAGGTGGATTGGTGGAATGTCTATGCATCACCTTCTTCTTCCTTGTTGCTGAAACACTTTTCTATTTCCCCCTAAATTCAACCCTAACGCAAAATGCTTCTCAAAATCCCCTAATTGAAATCTAAATCATCATTTAATCATGAGTTCTATGCGTGGTTCGTCGTCATCATCTAGAAACCGAAGTGATTCACAGGTCTTTAGCAACTCTAATCTTCCATGGAAGCCTCTATGTCGTTGTGGAGATAATGTTATACTTCGTAAGGCAAGAACTGTCAACAATTATGGAAAGCTTTTTTTGGGTTGTCAACATTTTAAGGTAATGTTTAGTATGAATAAGATAAGTTGAATGTTGTTGAAATGTCTATGTAATTCATTACAATTTGCATTCTCAATCTCTACAGGAATATAACAAATTATGGTTGTGGATTTTTTGAGTGATTCTATGAAGAAGTTAGAGGTGAAAGGAAGCAAACTTTGATGAAGAATCAATGGAAGATAGATGTGCTTAGTCAAGAGATGGAAGAAGCCAAAAAAGAGGTTGAAGTTTTAAGGCTCAATAATGTGGATTTAGAGGATGCTTTGAAGAACACCATCAAGTGGAAGAAGATATGGTAGTTTATATTCTATGTTGTTTTATTTGTTTTAGTAATCAAATTATTGTAAAAGAATTCAAGTTGTTGTGAGAGGTTGAAGTATTCTGTTCTTTGTTTTAGTTTTTAAGTTGTAGTAAAACTTGCATTATTCAAAGTTGCCAGGTTAGTTGTGTTCTGTTGTTATATGATTTAGTTAGACAAGTAAAATAACATAAATTTGGTATAACAAAAATTTGATCAACATAAACCTTGTTCAAATTTGAGAAACATAAACCTAGTTCAAATGGAACATAACATAAACCTTTTTCAAAATACTATAACATAATTTGTTACAGACATTTGATATCAACATAAGTTGTCACAGACACTTCAAAACAACGTAACATAAACATTTCAAAACAACATAACATCAACTATGTTCTTAAAACAGAAACTACATAAATCTAAATGGGTTTCTTTGTGTTGTTATGTTGGTTGGAGTGGTACTCCTAGTTGTAGGTCCCACTGCATTTTGTGATGCACTTAGTCTGGTGGTTAGTCCATTTGAAACAGAAGCCATTCTAACATATGTTTGTCTTGGTTTCCTAAAAGGAAACTTTCGCGGCCTTGCTTGTGTTGGTGTTGCCTTAGGTTGAGTTTCTTGAGTTGTGGTTGGTGTTGCCTTAGGTTGAGTTTCTTGAGTTGTGGTTGGTGTTGCCCTTATCTGAGTTCCTTGTGTTGGTGCTGTTGTTGCCTTTGGTTGACTTCCTTTAGTTGGGGTTGGTGTTGCCCTTGGCTGATTTGCTTAAGTTGGTGTGGGTGTTTCCCTTGGCTGAGTTCCTTCTGTTGGTGGCTGAGTCCTCTTATAAGTGGATTTATTGTGTCCAGTCTGTCTGCACCTTGTACACCTAAGTATCATGTCAGTTTTTCTCATTTTTCTATCTGTCCCATCAATTTCACCCTGCTCACAGTTCCTCGTCTTCTTTGGTATTTCTGGCATTTTTTTTTTAAATTTTGGTGGCTGCACATCTGGGTACTCTGTTCTGACCCATAAATTTGTCCTATTAACAGGATAAATGATAGGTTCATAAACAGAAATATACCTTGCCTTGTAATACTCTAATGTAATCATCAACACTTAGATTTCTACTCTTCATTGCAGAAGAGCATGAACACAAGGGAGACATGTCAATTGTCGTTTTCTGCATGAACACAAAATTTATTCCATTTCTACCTAAGACAAGAAAACGCAACATTACATACAAGAAAACACAACATTACATACAAGAAAACGTAACATAATAGCAGATTTCAAAAGTGGAAAAAAACCCCAAATATCTAATAAAATCAAGAAAACGCAATATTTACACACATTTATAGTAGACAAGGACATGTAAACTAATTGTCGTCTATGTTGCATCTTCGTCTTCCTCAGCGCATCCTTCGTCATCTCTTCATACTTTTCGTCGTTCTCGCTTACTTCTTCTCTCTTCTTTGTCTGCTAAGGCTTGCTATTTCAAAATATGTATTAATCAATCAATTAAAATGCTAATATTATGCTACTTCAGATGACACCTCAGCAAAGCCAATACTCATCATGCCACATAACCAAACCATTTATTACACCTCATTAATAACTTAACATGTCAGTTAGGTTTTTGATAGTAATCTAACGTTTCTAACGGATATGACTAACGTGATACCATTTTAATAACACAAGGGACCAACTTAAAATTAAAAATAAAAAAAATCCCTAAACATAAGTAGGAGACAAAAACAAAAAATATTAAAACAAAAAAAAGTAAAACGATTTCAAACCATATATGTTTTCTAAAATTTATAAATAATGTAATGAGACAACATCAATGATATCAAAATAAGATTTTTGTTATTATTGGGAGTATAGTTGGAGGTCAGATTCATTTAATTGACTTTGCAATGCATTTACTATGAAATTAATGAAGAAAAAAAAACCAATAAAAATAAACCCAAATTCACATCAGAAACCTCTCTTTCTTCTTTCCATGTATGAGAGAGACTCTCTCTGAGTCCTCACTAACACAGACATCACACATAATTGGATCCTTTCATATTCTCCTCCCATTCTCATATACTCTTCATGAGGATGATAGCTCCAGCTCAGCCCCCCATGCACCACAACCAGTCCCCATCTTCACCATTATCAGCAAACTCCCCTGCAGTAGACTTCAGTCCACCTTTAATAGCAATGGTTGTCGTCGTCGCCGCCGCCTTCGTCATTGTAACCTACTCCCGCCTCCTCACTCGCCACCTATCACCTCCCATCCACCGCCTAATCCAACGCTTCCACAGCCGACGTTTCCTCCCTCCCTCATCCTCATTAGGTGACATCGAATCACTGCAATACGAATCATCAACGTTCGAGGCTCCCCACACCTTCGGCTTAGACGAATCCATCATCAAAACCATTCCGTTCTTTATCTATACAACTAAATACGAACAAGAATCTCTCCGTGACTGCGCCGTTTGTTTACTTGAATTCGAAGATCATGATTATGTACGCACTCTACCTCTCTGTTCGCACACTTTCCATCTCGATTGTATCGACGCTTGGCTTCGTTCGCACGCTAACTGTCCTCTCTGTCGCGGCGTTCTTCTCTGTGAGTCTCCTTTCAGACCTCTCATGGCCGCTAGAATCCGTCCATCGTTTCATGACCAAACAAATATCATCCACCTCGATACGCCTGTACAACCGGTGCCGGAGATTACTCCTCATTCTCCGGTTATGAATAATGCTGATGAGAATCGGTTTATCAGACGGGAGGATTTTCTGTTGAAACGCTCTTATTCGTTTGGGTTTGAGAGGAGTTTACCGTCGGAGAGAATGGTAATCGACCCTGCCGCGACCTCCCCATGGCGGTACCGGAGGGGGAGCACTAGTTTCTGGAGTAAAAGACCGTCGCCGTTTGGTTCATTAGGGAAGTCGAGAGTATTTTCGTTTAGATATTATAGAGGAATGAAATCTCCGTTTTTCCGCCGGAGAGGTTTTTTCCCGTTGTCGGAGTCAAGTGTTAGGTACGCCGACGGAGGAACCTCGTGGCGGAGGAGCAAGTCAATAGCAAGTCCAATGTTCTTAAGATCATCAGCGGCGGTATTCTCGTCTAGCCGTTTAAGATGCGGTGATCCTGAAGCGTTACTCTCGCCGGAGAGGTTCAACCGTCGACGATGATAATAACGATGAGATGAGAAAATAGGTTGGAAATTGAATTACGGTATTAATGAATTTGAAGAGGACAGACACGTGTCAGAATATGAATGGTTGAGAAAGTCAAAGAAAAAGAGAAATTAAATGATGGAGGTGGCGTGTACTGTGTTGGTCTGGCAAAATGTGGAGACGAGACGAGAGTCATTAAATGGATGTTAGGAGAGAGCATTTAATTAGAATTAATTGGTGAAAGAAGAGAGAGATTTATTTGCATTTGCATGTGGATAGGTTCTGACAGTGTGGTGGGGGTGAATTAAAAGCTCATTAATGCGATTTTAAATGTGCATTTGACGAATGTATTGTGTTTCGACTTTCCTAGTAAGGAGTGGGAAGAAGAAGGCGTGGCGGAAGACAGAGAAGGGCCGGCCCATTAATTCAATAGGCCCAAGAAAATGACTAATCATCACTGTACTAAGGGGTCTCCAGAACAGGAAAGCGAGAAGTGTGATTAGCCTGAGGAAAAAAAGGTTAGAGCTAAATAGGTTTGAAAAGGAAGAACTTTTGTGCGATTGTTGGCTTCACTGAGATCACGTGTTCGCCGGCTGCACCTGCATGCCCGCATTGCCGTTTCTTCAATTTTCTCAAGCAGTCAAGTGGTGCGTTTATTTTGTAATTAATCATATTTAATTAGTTATCGGTATAATAAAGTAGTATTGTTGCTTGGCCGTTGTTGCATGATGTGTTTCTATATGATTTATTTTTCTTTTACATTTAGTATATCATTTCAATTTGAATTTCAGTATTATAAACAAAACGATTTAATTATATGAATAATGCTAAGGTGTGCTCTTAAGACAGATATTAAAAATTAAATATAAGAAATACATTTTTTTTTTATTTATACTACTTTTATTTATAATTTATAATTAATCTTTTTAATTGTTTTTTAAGACAAACTTAGCATTACCCTAATTATATATTTTGAGAAAGAAAATTTGTGCGTAATTTTACAAAATTATTATTGGAGTTTAATTGTAATAACCAGGATTTCATCGCATAAATTTTTATTCCATTTATAATTAACTTGTCTATATAGTAGTCCTAGTTATTGTTTGACTATTCATATTTCAAGAATATTTGAGACACACAAATCTTCTAAAAAAGACCGAAGTAATTTTATCAAAGTATCCTAGTTAATTATTATTGTGTTATTATTATTATTTAATAAAGTATTCTCAATATCATAAATGTAAAATAAAATAATAATAAATTAAAATATTAATTAAAGAATATATTTGAAAAAATTGCACTAAAAACTAACAGTTATATTTATTTTAGGGAGGATGAAATAATGTGAATGAATGTATAACAAAAGTAATAATAATTATTTATTTGCATTGTCATTTTCTTAAAATTAATTTTAAACCTAAAACATGTTCGAGAAAAATAGTGTTGAATTAAGTTCAACACGAATATAATTTTTCTCTTATTTTTAGAATAACTTTTCACTAAAACTAAATAAATTTTTGAAAATTTATGTTTTTGTTTTAAAGTTAAGACACAACAATTATTGGCTATCATTACAATTACTACTTTGACCACTACCAATCATTATTTGGTTACAATCAACCATACATTTAACTATTGTCAATCACCACTTCAACTATATTCAATCACCACATTGACCATCATTAGTTACCATTATATTAACTTGAATCACTAGTTTGATACTTAGTCACTGCCGACTATCTTTCTAAACACCATTTTGACCATCTATGATTATCACCAACTACTACCACCACTCTGACCACCCATGAGTCACCACGTTTTCCACCTCCAACCACCACTTTTGTCACCCATCAACTACCATGTTTGCCACCACTGATCACTACTTCATCTACCTTCGATCATCTTTATTTTGAATCAAATATAAAGGTTCAAGAATAAGGATTTTTCCATAATTGAATCCAATATTTCTCAAACAATTATTTAAGAACTACTTTAAAATACAAACAAGAATCAAGAAGAAATTATAAACTTACAAAAGATGAATTAGACTAGAAGATAACATGGAGATGAATGGTCGTCACTTCCATAATTGAATCCAAAAGATGAACCTTAAGAGGGAATTCTCTACCTCACACAAAAGTTTCAAACTTGTAAATTATATTATCATCAAAAACTAGTCACAATAGTTTGTAAATTCTATTGTCCTTGAGTTTCCTAGAGGTCTTCATCACTTCATTCTTCTCTAGAAGAACTCGTACTCAAGTTAAGCTTATCATCACATATATCAAACAAAGTTAAGTCACTTATATTAAAAGTAACTCTTACCTTATAATCAACAGGTAGATCAATTTTGAAAGCATTATCCCCCAATCATTTCTAGGATTTGAAAAGGACCATCACCTCTATCTTGGAACTTAGATTTACTCAATGAAGAAAATCTCTTATTTTTCAGGTGCCCACACCCAATTTCTAAGTTGAAACACAACTAATTTGTTTTTCCTTTATCAGGTTTTTTTCATATGTTTTGTTCCGTGTTGGAACTAGAATAGAGCGAGGATCGAAGGTAATGACAGATCTGAACATCCGGTGTGGTGGAGAGGAGGATGACCTACAAGGTTAGCACTCTAACACTCAAGTTAGTATATGAGAGCCATACCCAATTTTGCCACACCTATATAGTATTACACTCATTTATGTGCATACGACTATTTTATTAGTTACTTTCCAAGTTCTCACCAAGGTTACATTTGTTCTTGCGTGTGGCCTCTGTAAATTAGGGTTTGCTTAATTCTTGGTGCATCATATCCATTATTCATGTCATCTCACCATTATACATCCAAAAGTACATAATTTGGTGCATGTGTTGCTCTTTCTGTGCATTAGGATTACGATTCCCATAATTCTAGTCCAATGAGATTCACATGGTCACTATCTCTCAACACCAATTCATTTTGGTTCATGGTGGGTCATTTTGGTTCATGGTGGGTTAACTCTGTCAAGAAAGAGGTTCTAAGTTGCTCAAGAGACAAGAGATGCACAAATCATCAATTCATGGTTCAAGATCTTCTTTCAAGACTGATCCAAGTTTTCTTCGCATGGAAGAAAGCCACATTCCATTTATTTTTGGATTTTGGTTGTAAGGAGAGTCCAATTTTATGCAAAAGAGGGATCAAGAATGTTTTATGGATCCAAGGACTGGCTATGGTTCTACATTAAGCAACCATTGTTTATTCAAGCCTTGAATTAAAAAGGACTGGCTATGGTTCTACATTAAGCAACCATTGTTTATTCAAGCCTTGAATTAAAAAGTTTGAGGCTTACTAACAAAAACTATGGGAGCCAAGTCCATCAATCCTTGTTGTCCATGCGCTATTCTCTCAAGTAATAAAGGTACAAATCAAGTTGTCACGACTTAAAATTTCAAGACATGTTACAAGAACAAGTTTCAAAAGTTCTAAGGCTTGAATTTCAAAGTACATTATCAATGCATAAGAAGAATTCACTTGGTACAAATTCTAAAGTTACAAATTTCACTTATGGGTGTGCAAAATAACCAATAACCATAAACCAAATTCCTATCCAAATTAATCCAAAATTTAAAATCCAAACCAAATTTATATTTTAAATTTGGTGGCCCATTTATCAAATTAAAAAAAAAAAAACCGGTAATCATTTGTTCCAAACCGGATTGAGATTCGGTAACCATATTTTTTTAAAACTTGGTTACACCATTTTATAATGATTCGGTAACCATTTTTTTTAAAACTTGGTTACACCATTTTATGATGCTTTGATTTTATGTGTTCTCTGCAATTTGTGATCCTGTGTGTGATTCAATCGTATGTGCTATTTTTCTTCTGATTCATTCTTCAAATCATGCATGCTGCTACTGTAAAAAAACAATGTGTTCTTGTCTTCGTATTGTGCCTCTAATTGTCGATCCTTTTTGTGAATGAGTAAGGTTCTTTTTATAGGTTTGAATGCATTAAATTATGATTTCAATTGAATTCGGAATTGCTTTCGTTTTAGAAAGAAAAAATGTACGGTTACTAATTGGACTCCACATGGATGAATTATTGACTGATGATTGTGATTTGCCATGAACACATTTGATTTCCTCCCTTATTTTCACTAATGCCATAACTGTATTTCTAGTGAAGTCGATCACGTTCCTTGATCCTTTCCTTATTTGAAGATTTGATTCAAATTCGCTTTTTTCAATTTGGAAATTCTTGAACTGCTGAAACACATGATTGTAAAATTAAGAAATTTGTTTTTTTTTTTTATAAAAGTTTTAAAACTGATTTCTTTAAAGAAAATAAAAAACTGATTTTGAGAAAAACCGATTTAAAACTGATTTTAAAAAAAAACTATTTTTTTCTTTGAAAACCGGTTTGAAACCGAACCGATCCACTTGTAAACCGGTTTCAAAAAATAAACCAGTTTTATATAAATGGTTTTAAAATCTAAACCAAACCATATATGTGGTTTGGTTTGGTTTATAATCCATGCACACCCCTAATTTCACTTGATACAAGTGGAATTTACAAGTCATTCAATTTCCTAAACAAATCATTTATAAACCTAGGTGAAATCCAAAGCCTAGTAAATTGCAAAATAAGAAAATCAAGTTTGTGCCTCATGTGCCTGGAATCAATATTATATCCTTCAAAGCTTCATGTTAAGCCACAATTTCTCCTTCTTCCTCAAAATCTCCTCATACCAAGATAATTTGTCATCCAACACATGAAAAGAGAAAAGGTGAAAATTGGTGTAAGTGCATTAAACAAGCAGGCTCATGGAAATGTTCATCATACAACATAAATGTTTTGCCAATACATGTACCAAAAATAAGAAGGACAATGGGCAGCAGCCCTTGGGACACTTCTAATACACATCAACAACAACCATAATAAACATCCATTTAGCATACATAATTCAAAATGGAATTCTCGTACATATGAGACAAACACACATCTTACAAAGTTGATACCATCATATGTCAAAACAAAATA